TGTGTATATATATATATATAATATATATATATATATATATATATATATATATATATATATATATATATATATATATATATATATATATATATATATATATATATATATATATATATATATATATATATACACACACACAGTTGAGTCTGGTTAACGAGCACAATTCGTTGTAGAAGGTTGCTCGTTAACTGAAAACCTCGTTAACCGAAACCATTGTTTCAATGGGTTTTTGGGTAATTGGTTCCTGCTCACCAAAAATTGCCTAAAATCAACAAAAAAAAAAAGGTAGTACAGTCATGCGCCGGTTAACGTCCAATCGAACAACGTCCGATCGCATATACGTCCATGGCCCCCCCCCCTCAAAAAAAAAACCCACTTCCGCAACGCCTGCTGGACCACCACTCCACGACCCCCTGACGGAGACACGATGATCCTCCCCATACTGGTCAGATATTATGTGTTAAAGGAATATGCTTCCTTCCTTAGGCTTTTTGTAAGCATTTGCCTCCAGGTGTAATGTTAACCTACATCTATTGAGGATAAAATCTTTCCCCTACAAATTGACAATAACACATTTGCTGTAATCAGATATATCGAGTTGCCTCAACAATCGCAACCCCAGTTGCAATTGGGGTTGCAATTTCAAATTCTGTGTCATTACTAAGGAATAACGAAATCTCTGGTGCACTCTAAGATTAAGAGAGAAAACGGAAGAATCAGGCGTCCTGAGCGAGAGAAAACAGACCCCTATGATGGGGGACAAGCACCCACACGTGCCGCTCATACTGACAGACTTGACACTCACTTACTTGACAAGTTTTACCAACCATTAGTTGTGTACACTATCTAGTGAATTTAGTCAATATTGTACAGTACAAGTACACTGCAATACAGTGGTCCCTCGGTTAACAATGGAACAAACCTGTACTGTACATGTACTAAATGATTACGGTACTTAAATTGTTATGTCTATTGCAAATATAGATTGTTTATACAGGTATTCAAATAAATCACTATCTTACAAGAATCCCAGCCATGTAAGATATATTCACCCAGGTCGTTTGGGTGGCAAATTATGAGAAGAGCCTAGTCACTCTTAAGGAATGATAAATGAACATGCAGGCCTTCAGCGCCAACTGTCAAATCATATCTCAACTAAATAAACAAACACCAGACACTGTCACCTCACCTCCTGCTTCCCCCTGCTCTTCCCACGCTCGTTGGCTACCTCCCTCCTTGCCTCCCTCCCTCCTTGCCTCCCTCCTTGTGTTCCTAGACAAAAGATTGGTGATAACTTTATGCTTTAAGGTGTTTATTTTATATAATATCTCAGACTAAAGTTAGGATAATATAATTTCATTGCTGAAATCCTTGCAAGACAGAGATTAATTTGAATATAAACATTATATATTTTGCTCGAGATAAAAATTGTAGTACATTAGTGTACAGTACTGTAGTACATTTTGTAATATAAAGTTTTTCAACTGTATTTTTGGGTAGATTTACATAAATTTCTTCATTTATTTTCATTCATTTACATGCACACACCATACTAAAAGAAACGTATAAGAAATACTGTAAATGACTTTAGTGCAAAGCTGGAGTGCACATGTACTGTACTAATTTGATTACGATACTAAAATTGTTATGTCTAGTGCTAATTATAGGTTGTTTATATTAAAATAAATCAAAATCTTACAAGAATCCCAGCAATGTAAATTATATTCACCCAGGTCATTTCACTGGCTTTTTATAGGAAAGAAGCTTAGTCACTTAAGAACTAATAAATATACACACATTAGACCTGGGCCTGTGCCAACTGTCAAACCGCTCCCCTCCCCCCACGCCCCCTCGGTTGCTCGCTCCCTCCCTCCCTATCCCCCATCTGCCCAGCGTTGCTGGAATCCTTGTAAAACAGTGAATAATTTTAATATAAACGTCATGTATTTTGCACAAGAGATAAAAATTAATCACCTGTATCACATTACAGTAGTAATTTAAGAGTAAAAGTGTATATGTACGTATATAGTATTCCACATACACGTAAGTATAAATACAAAGTTTATGCGATGATCGGACAACGTCCATTTCGGTTAACGTCACGTTTCCAAGAACATAACTAGGACGTTAACTGGCGCATGACTGTATAGTACACTTTGAGGTGTGTGTGTAGAAGGCTCCTGGATGATGATGATGGGAATTAGAATGGGGGTGGAGAAGAAGGGAGAAGAAAAGGCATTGGGGATATATATATATTTATATATATATACAGTATATATATATATATATATATATATATATATATATATATATATATATATATATATATATATATATATATATATATATATATATATATATATATATATATATATATATATACATATACATATACAGTGGGGTATGCTATAACGAATCTAATTGGTTCTAGAACCTTGTTCGTTATAGCATTCATTCGTTATAGGATTAATCCGTTCCAGGTCCCCAAATACAATCACTT